AGAAAGAAAGAAAGAAAGAAAGAAAGAAAGAGAGAAAGAGAGAGAGAAAGAAAGAAAGAAAAAGAGAAAAAGTAGCCACTGACTTCCTGCCTTGCTCCTAATAAACTCTGACCAGTCCCAATCACTGGGGAGATGAGGGGAGCATTGTCAAACAGGTGTCAGTGGTGAGGCTGACCTTATATAAAGGAGAGCTTCAGTGACCTTGTGTAGAGTAGAAAACTAAATTTGGAGACCCAGCCAAGGCTCTGGTGAACAACATTAAAGGCTAGAGTAAGAATTGTTCTATCTCGAAGCCTCAAAACTTTGTCAAATCCCAACCAGGTAGGCATGAAGAGAGGAGTCCACCAACCTAAAGCCATACCCATGCCAAACGATTTGGTGGTCCTGCAGCCTGCTTGGTCCAGAGTTTTCCTAGAAAGGTGTTGGCCCTAGCTCTGATCCATCACCTGAGATATAATAGAGGGTGAAACCATGTAGCCCGTCCCAAGCCTGGGCAGTCCTCACCTGGAGGATACTCCCTCCCATGCCCCAAAGAATACAACACCAGGATTTCCACCAATATGAGAAGCTAGCTGAGTCACACCAATGTGAGTTAAGCATTTTGCATTTTCCTGCAATAAAAAGCAAACCCCACTCTGTCCTTTTGACACGCATCCCAATGGTCTGATTGGGGTTTGTAAGTAAATTGGATTAATGAGAAAAACATCCAACCAAATGCTGCCCAGACGCAGGACCCGCTGAGTCCTGCCTTGGAAGCCCCCCTCACATGTCTGGGGACTTCATCTGGAGCCACTAAGCTGCCTGAGGCCAACCCCACTTCAGGATCCAATGCTGTGTATATGCTACTCATCTCCTAACTTGCTTCCATCTGTCTCCAAGCGGAAAATCTCAGGTGACATGTAGTGTGGTTCTGGAGCTGACCTCTCCTTCCAGCCTGCTTCTCTCCCTTCCCACCCCATCCCCACCCTGTTTCTTTTTGTTTTGCAGATTCTGTTTTATTTTGACATTGTTTTCACTACCATTTTCACCATTGAAATTGCTCTGAAGGTAAAGTCCCAACCCCTCTCTCCTCTTCCCTTCCTCCAGGAGCTGGCATTAGCTCTCTGCTGCTGTCTGTTGCTAACACACATGCTTCTGTTGGTGTCGAGTTCACTCTCAGAGCCACTAATCCAATTGTGCTTATTTTTCAGATCCTAGGCAATGCAGACTATGTCTTCACTAGTATCTTTACATTAGAAATTATCCTTAAGGTAATGCAATCTGAGCAATGCACTCTCTGTCTCTTTCTCTATCTCTGCTCTGTCTGCCTGTCTCTTTTCTCTCGTTTCCTTCACTCACTCTTTTTTACTCTCAAGCCTGAGATTGGAAGAATTAGTGCCCCTCACTTTATGCTATGCGCTTTGCTCTGGCTCAGAAGCCTGAAGAACCACCGCCCCCCCCCCACCCTGCCCGCTGTGCTTCCTCTCAGTCTGGAAGGGGCATGTGGCTCACAGTGTCAACACTGATGCTGTCCTGTTACCAGCTCTGGCACTGTGCCAGTCCGCAGTGCCCCCTCCCCCCGCCACACACACACCCTCATACCCCATCTCTGGGTAATTGATGACTGACCCCTGCTCAGAGCTCCCTTCCCTCCTCCTGCCCGGAAGAGATGCTGCACAAACTCCAAGAGTGGAAACACTCATGGGGCATGGAAAGCCACTTGGTTGACCTCCTTTGGACAGCCATTGTCAACACCTTCCTCAACACCTTCCTCAGTACTAGGGGCAGGCACCAGGGCTAGGCTGGAGTTGGGCCTGCGTGATAGTAATCATGGGCCTAATGCAAGATTTGGGACCAGCCTTCCAATGAGGGCTTTCAACAGATGACTGTAGATTACTTCTGAATCCTCGGTTTCCTGCCGAAAAGCTTTGTTATGATGCCCCTTGCCCCAGGCGTGGAGGAGGGAGAATCATACTGGAGAGCTAAGCACAGGGGAGTGAGCTGAAAGAAGCTGGAGCACCCAGGTCCCAAACCCCAGTCCTGAGAGCACACAGGCCTGGCCCCACCTGGGGCTGGTAGCACCAGGTGCTGGTGGCCCTGCTGGAGGAACTGCTACAGAATTACCCAACCAGCGGAGCCCACTCCTGAAAGCATTGGGATGAAAGAGATTGTTTTCTAAGTTTTGTTTTATTACTTATATTAATTTATAATTAATATTCATATTTATTTTATTATGATTTCTATGTTTTTCCAGCATAGTTCTCAGCCTCTAAAACAATGCATCGCCAAGCCACTCCACCTGAGACTCAGGGTGTGATTTCTGAGACGCAGGAAAAGTGCATTTCAGCACTTGCTCTCTTCTCAGAACAACAGGATGGATTTTACCATTACCCTGAACAGAAGGGCTATATGCTTTAAAGCATATGCCTCAGCTTGGTGTCCTCTTCCTGGGAGACTCACCTAGGACTCCTTTCAAGGAGTCCAGGCTCCCTTTTCCCCCTTCATGGGGCTGATGCAAGCCACTATCCATGCTTGACCATGTACCACAGCCAGCTGGCAGACAGACCCTTCCTTTCTTGATGCAACTCCCAAGTCAAGTCCCAACCCTTTAATGTATGTGACAGTTCTGTCACTTCCAGACAGAAGTTGAGTGGAGCAGTTTGGGGTGCCTCTCTTGTGTCTTTATCCCCAGAAAGCTGAGCTGTCCAGACCCCCAATTTCTGTCCCTGGTTCCAGTGACCAAGGGTGTTCCCTGGGTTTTCTCTTCTGCTCAAGGGCAGTGGATCTGACCAGGTCCTGATTCCTGGCAGTGGGAGAGGGAGCCAAGAGCTGCCCGACTACATGAAGATATACTCTGTAAAACCCCTTTCCATGGTGAGCTGAGTTATCCTGGACTTCAGACTCAGGGAGGCACTCAAATCCCCAAACCTCTTTCCCAGTACAAGAAAAGCTCTGAGTCCCAGTTCTCAGAACTGCTCCACAGAGCTTCCCATGTGGATTTCAGTGGTGCTGTCTTTCCTTCAAGGTTGCCATGAGCAGAAGTGAAAGGTCTCTTTGCCAGCATTGTCATGGCAAGAGCCTTCCCTCTCTTCACCCTCTCCCTCTTCTACTCCCTTTATGGCTCAGCGTGCTTCTAAATAAAAACCCCAGTCCCCACTCCACTTCCCTGCACCTCCTTCCACTGGGCCCCTCTGTCTTTCCCGAAGGCTCAGCTTCCTGCCATCGCACAGACAATGATGGTCCCATCCTCCAAGGGGCATTTAGTTTCAAGAACAGTTGAAAGACTTGGGGATGTTTGGCCTTAAAAAGAAAGGGTTTGTAGGACCATGACAGTAGGCCTGCATACTGCAAAGGACTGTCACATAGAGGAGGGAGGAGGTGAACCAGGCCCAGTGGGTACAGTTACAAGATGCATCTAGTAACTAGAAGGGCTGCCTGGGGAGGCAGTGGCCACCTGGACAGCGGGGTTTTCCTGCCCTGCCAGCTCAGAGAGTCAGTGATCTCATGCCCACCTTTTTTCTTCCCTCAGCCTGAAAATACCCCAGCAATAGGCTTTTCTTACGCAATGGCTTAGAACTTTTGGGAAGCAGGAAATGAATGGGTGGCCATCAGCCAAACGGGGTAAAGGAAGGACACTTTGCACTGGGTACCTGAACCTGGCCTCTTCTGTTGTCTTAAATGCCTAGGATAATTTTCAAATAAATGCTCCAATTTTTCAGTATCCACTTGCCCTTTCTCCCCTGACCACTCTTCCTCTAGCCCTGCCTGGGCATGTGTGCCCCCCCACACGCGCACACACACACACTTTCTGGAGTGCCGGTCTCATTCTGGGTCCCCTGACAAATAGGATCCCAAAGTCAAAGGACAGACATTGGCAGAGTGAGCCCCATTGGTGCACCTATTCAAGGAGTGCTCCTGCTGTGGAGGGCTCTGTGGTGCTCCATAGTGTCCTCACGGTGTCCAAACCAGGAGTGAGGTAGGGTCAGACTCAGCGCCTTTCCTGAGACTGAAAGTGGATGGCTGGGGAAGGTGCTTGGCCTTCTACAGGCGCAGGGGTTCTTTGGTTAAGTGAACTGTAGGAGCCACCCAAGTCCAGTCTCTGGGGTCCTAGATCTTCACCAGATACAGGACAGCAAGCCCCTCCTGATGGCGGGCCTTCAAGAGAAATCTCCAACTATATTCCCCTGCAGCCTTTTATATAATATACCCACTTCTAGAAACTGTTGCAGGACACAGGTGTCTCAATCCCCTGCGACCCCCTGCAGCAAGAGATAAATGGAAAGAATTAGGTTGCGAGAGCTATTTTTGCCAGTTTCCCCTGTGTTTGCTTTTGAATTACTCTGCGGACATGCTGCCCTGGGCATGCTCTGATTCCAAAGAGATAAACTGGACCCCAGATGACCAGGGAGCCACTCTCAGTCTCTTAGCCACAGCTCCAAATTGTTCCCTTTGGCTGATGCTTCACTGCCCATGGCCTTTCACAACCCTTAACCTGGAAATCTGTTATCTCTTAATTCAAGTTAACAGAATTGGAAAGGCTGTTTGAGTGTCTACCGTGGCTTTAGACTGAGCTCAGAGAGAGGTAATAATAGCCAAGTCCTGTAAAAATAATCACCATCCCAGGTGCTCCCATTTTAGTCTTCAAAGGGCCTTCACGTTGTCTTTCTGTGTGTGTCTCACAAAGACAGGGAATAGTATCCCCGCTTTGTAGATGAGGAAACTGGACATCCTTATATAGGAAGAATCCAGAATTCAAATCCAATCTATCTGACCCTAAGTTCAGTTCTCTATAGTGACAGCTAACACTTACATGAAGCTTAGTATTTGCAGGGTAGTGTAAGTGTTTTACCTGTAATAACTCATTTGATGCCTACAACCCTACAGGGGAGATATTATCATGACCCTCATTTCTCAGATGAGGAAACTGAGACAGAGAAGTTGAGTAACTTGTTCCAGGCCATACAAATAAAATATGACAGGGTTGGGATTCAAACTCAGGCATCCTGGCTCCAGAGCCTATCCTCTTAAGCATGGTACCACATTGTCCCTCTGAACACACAGCTCTGGCCTCAAAGAATATCAGTCTAGAAGCAAGATAACAGAACTGAGTTTAGAATATGTGGCATAGATCATAAACACTAATTAAGCTTAGGAAGTGGAGGGATGCTAATTGCCAAAGTTATTGATAAAACATCTCACTGGGCACTGGGGTGACCAGCTATCCCAGTTTGCCTGAGCCTGAAGAGTTGCCTGGGTGGGACACACGACTTTCAGTGCTAAATCAGGAAAATCCTGGGAAAACCAGGACAGTTGGTCACCCCACTGGGCTTGCCCCATCTTTCCCCAGATGCTTAATGTCTGAAGCTGGCCCTGGGGGTTGATAGAATTTGAACAGGAGGTTGGCAGTTTTGCATCCAAGTGAAAACTGGACTGGGCAGTATCAGCAAAGAGCCCCTCAGGGCCAGAGCCACAGACATGTGATGAGGAACAGTGGTGGAAAATGAGAGAGGGATGGCAGTGCCCAATCTGAAAAGGCTCCAAATATAGGATGGAAGAGTCTGGTGTGGTCTAGTAGGTAGAACGAGCCACTTAACCATCCAGAGCTGGGGATTGTGTGGTGGTTGTATAAATGGTTGCGGAATGCTGTCCTTGGTCGTGCCTCTCCTTCTGTAGTCCTGCCTGCCCCCGGTCCTCTCACTGCTCTTCAGCTTGCCCCGCCCAAGGGATGCTGTGGGAGGAGAGGGAGGCATGAGGGGGTCTCTGGAGCTTGGGCAGGGACCACTCACGCTCGTGTTTCTCTGTGCCTCCCTGCAGATGACTGCTTATGGGGCTTTCCTACACAAGGGCTCTTTTTGCCGAAACTACTTCAACATCTTGGACCTGCTGGTGGTCAGCGTGTCCCTCATTTCCTTTGGCATCCAGTGAGTAGGACTCCCTTGGCCCCATATGGGGGCACACAAGTGGAAATGGGTGTCAGAGAGGATGACCAAGACTCTGGAGGGCATTCCTGCATGGCCATCGGTGTGACTGTGACAGGAACAGGGTGGGGCCCCTGCCTTGTAAAACATGATGGCTTTTTGTACACATCCTTAATGGTGTGACACTTGGGGGTATGTCGATCCAGCAAGAAGATGTTTAAATATCTGGATCTTGCCATGACAGGCAGGGCCGGGCCCAGTTATAACGAGAGGAATGTCTCCAGGACCTTCCTGCCTCCTCCACCACGTGCCCAGGGCCCTTGGCTACCCTCAGCTCCAAGGGCCTGCCATTGCCGTGACCAGCTCTGATCTTCCTGTCCATCTTCCCTCCCTTTCTCTCTCCAAAGAACCTGATGAGAAGAAGGTGGGTGGGGGAAAGAGAAAGAGAGAGGGGAATTACTGATTCTCAATCTTGGCTTCATAGTGGAATCACCTGAGTGGTTTCAGGAAAGACATTTACCTGTATCCCTCTCCCCAAGTTTTTATTTAATTGGTCTGGGGTACAGGCCTGGGCTTTAGGAGTTTTAAAAGCTCTCCAGGTGACTCCAGTGTACAACCAAGTTTGCCAATTTGCTCAATTAACAGGATCTGATTACTAGTGTCTCCCAAGTTCTATCTGCTGCTAATGTTAACCCTGCCCTTCAACCTCAGAGCACTTTCACATGCACAATCTTCTAAGGTCCTCACAAAAAAGCCTACGAGGCAGGCAGGGCAGGGGCTGTTACCACCATTTTGTAGATAGGAAAACTGAGGTTCAGGGCATGAGACTTGCCCAAGGTCACACCAATTGCAGAGGAAGAAGGGTCCTGGGTCTCCCTTCCCAAGGGTGTTTTTATGGTAAACCTAGAAAGAGTGGACATGGGGGCATGAGGAGTGAGACCTTTTCTGTGATCATCAGTTGTATTATCCCAGCTGTCTGCCTAGGAGCCTACAGGTCTAGATTCTAATCCCAACACTACCACTAAACTACTATTTAACCTGGAACCAAGAAACACCCCCCACCTTATCTGTGTTTTCCCCCGCCTGATCTTAAAATCCCTTCCATTGCCATTCAGTGCAAACAGACTCCCTCCCTGAGACACTGAGATAAGTAGGAATGACCTTTAAGTCCTTTGGGATAAAACAGCCATGAACCAGAGAAATTCGATCTTTCTACCAGCTCCCTCTTGAGCACATTATCCTGACCTCATGTAGAATGAAATCAGCCCTGTCTGAGGTGTCATACATTTTTTTAGGTCCCAAGGTGGGTACAAGCTCTCTGAAAGTTTGAGAGGATATCTCAGTCAGGGTAGTGTGTGAGGGTTGGGATAGACCCCACCTGGGTTGGGTTGATGAATAACTCCAGAAACCATGTAGGCTTCCTGCTGAGGGGTTTCTGGGGAGAACTGCACCCTGGTGCCTCATTTCCACTGGGGAACAGAAAAAGCCTGAAGCTCCCAGAGATCCTGGCCAGGCCCTAGCATCCAGGTATGCAGGACCTGCTGTGTAGAATCCATTCTTTCAAGTTCCGAGTGTGCTATGAACCAGTGGGTTTCATATACGCACGTAATGGGCGACTACCTAGGACACATGTTTGGAGATCCAGAATATCTCCCTCCCTGCCCATCACCTCCAGCCAACAAGGCCTGAATCTCCACCATCTAATAAAGTTACCATTTATTGTTCATAATATGTGCGAAGCACACTGCTAGATGATACAGATATGTTTCTTCATTTAATCCCTGCAACAACCTTATGAGGCCCACTTTACAGATGAAAAACTAGGGTTCAGAAAAGTTAGGAAATTTATCCTCAGTGAATTGGCTGTTAAGTGGCTGAGCTGGGGTTTCTTTTTTCTCGTCTAAAGCTCCCCTGAGTAGCACATTATAGTGCTAATGACCCGTGGTAAATTGCTTTTCATATTATTTACACACCCACAGGAAGTCCCAGAGTCAAGTCCCAGGCAAGTTCTAGGCTCTTCTGGGGGGTGGGAGGTGGGAGTAGAGAATGGTCCCAGGATGAGAAAAATCCCCCAAAACAGACTTTACGCTTTCTCAAGTTGGCCTGGGGTCAGCCTATCAACACACCCCCTCACCACCTTATTTCCTGCTCCACCAAAAGAGGAGCTTACTCGCCTGCCCTGTTTCCCTCTCCCAGGTCCAGCGCAATCAACGTGGTGAAGATCTTACGAGTCCTGCGCGTCCTCAGGCCCCTGAGAGCCATCAACAGGGCCAAGGGGCTAAAGGTGAGAAGCATGGGTCTGGGGGGTAGCCAGCAGCCCAGCAAGCATCTACCTGGCTGGGGGTTGGCAGAAGTTAAACAAGGGGATGGGGGGGCGGTAGGCTGGAGGGCGGAGAAATAGCCAGAGCAAGTGGCTGCTGTGTGGGAGCCTGGACTGTCCTGCCTGTACCACCAGCTCCACTTCAGGAGGAAGAGAACAAGGACAGGCAGCCATTCAAAATCAGAACTTCTAAGCAAAACTTTCACAAAAAGGAGATGCACACACAAACCCAGGGCCCTACATAATGATGAGGTCCCCATATTCCTACCCCTATAAAATGGGAATCTAGCAGGGCTTTTGTCCCTAGAGTCACCTAGAGCCCAACAGGGGACTTTGGGTTCCATTGGATTCCATCGCCATGTGAACCCGGGAAGGTGCTTTGCTTGTTTGAGTCTGACTTTCCCCCTTTGGCAAAGGGGCTGCCCATTTAGCCTCCTCGGAAAGGCTCATGGCTTGGCTGAAGGAAGCTCAGGCTGCAGGCACTTCCAGAACCCCATCCCTTCCCCTGCCTTCTCTTCCCACTGCAGCACGTGGTTCAGTGCGTGTTTGTTGCCATCCGGACCATCGGGAACATCGTGATTGTCACCACGCTGCTTCAGTTCATGTTCGCCTGCATCGGGGTCCAGCTTTTCAAGGTAACATCTTGACTCTGATCTGTGCTCCCGCTTCCTTCCCCTCCTCTCAGTATTCCTGAGAAACAGAGCTGGCAGATACAACCAAAAGAGGACAGCGGCCTGGGTCAGACTTGGGATGAGTGGAACCTCCAGCCACCCTCCTCTCAGCGTCCCCCAGGGGAAGAGGAAGAGCCTGGAAGGAGGTGCTCTCCACCAGGCCAAGGACCCCTCGCCCTCACAGCGCAGCCTGCCCTTGCAGTGCCTGCCCATCCTTCTAGCAAGAAAGGGAGAGGGCCTCTTATCCTCTGAAACCTCATGTCAGTCACCTGCTTAAAACCCACAAGGGTCCCCTGTTACCAACAGCATCCAATCCACCCTTCTTCACCTAGCTTTCAGAACCCTGCATCCACCCAGGTTCTCTCTCACTGCATCCAGACAAGACCCCTCAGCTATGGTGAGGCCGGTGTCCATGGTCTCTGCTCTTTCTGCCTTAATCCTTTTATTTTTGCTCTTCTCCTATCTGAAGCATCCTTCCCCCTGCCCTCTCCCACCGACCATATAAATTCCCCTGATTTCCTCCCATCTAATTTGTCCCTCCAAACCCTGTTCCACTTCTACCCTTCCTCAGGCCAGCTGAAAGAGTCTAGCTTTCATGGAGTAGAGTTCCTTTTTTTTTTTTTTTTTCCAGTGGTACTTGCAACACTGAGCATCTTTATTCACTGCCTGTTTTGTATATACAAATCCTATCTTCCCAATTCAATTCTGCTCTCCTTGCACTTTTCATCCCAAGTCCCTAGCATAGTGCTGGGCTATAGAGATGATCACTAATCATTTTTTGACTGATTCATTGATTAATGAATATCTCCAATCACTTTGTTCTTCTGCCTTCCAGGGAAAGCTCTACACCTGCTCAGATAGTTCCAAACAGACTGAGGCGGAATGCAAGTGAGTACAAGCAGCAGGGCAGCCAGTGCCAAAGCTAGTTAACTCTGGGAGGTTGGTGACTTGGCCTGAGAGGAGGGACAGCCCATTCTTTCTGAGATGGCACTGACAGCTGAACTTTGACCCATGGGTAATTTGGTCACATTGACATGACATGTAAGATTATCTATTCTTGAAAGGTCTACCCTCTCAAGTTCTTTCCAATGGCTAGCACGGTGGGGTTTAGGCCTGGCCAGTCTCATCCCACCCAGCAAGCCAGGAGTCATTGGTGGGCCAGGTGTGAAGGGAAATGAGAGACCCAAGAATTAATTCTTCCTTCTTTCTCAGGGGTAACTACATCACATACAAGGACGGGGAGGTCGACCACCCCATCATCCAACCCCGCAGCTGGGAGAACAGCAAGTTTGACTTTGACAATGTTCTGGCGGCCATGATGGCCCTCTTTACCGTCTCTACCTTTGAGGGGTGGCCGGAGTGAGTATACAAATCAAGGCCTGCCCACCCTGATATTAGAGGTCAGAACATTCCCCAAGTTTTATTATTCTCCCACACTCCTTCCCAGAAGTCATACTTACCTGTGTCCTTCCCAAGCAATGAGGGTTTGTTTCTAAAACAATCTGCGTTCCATGGTCACTGCTGAAACATAGACTCTTCTTTTTCTAGAAGATGTCAACATTTCAGAAATTCCAACCAAAAATGAGCTTCGTTTATCTTCCCCTCCCTACCTCAGAGTGAGCCCCAGTGATAGGTGTCTTTGTCATTACTCTCACGGCATCTAGGAGTGGGGTGAGTTTCTCTAGGTATGAGCCCCTGGATTACCATAGGATTCAAGATTACTGCACCCAACACGCACTCAAGGTGGGAGAGGTGGCCAAGATATCTATCTTTTAGACTCTACTCCCATCTCCTTAGAATAAGCCTTGCCTATAATTACAGTGAGACGTAAGAAAGGGACAGAAGCCTGAGTCCAAATTCCTCTGCAGAGATAATGCCTAGACCAACCTGGCTGGCCTTTTACACTGCGTCACCTCTACCAGGCTGTTCCATATATCTTGTATAGACACCTGCTTCCCCATACCCCCTACCCAGTGTATTCCAGGGAAATTATTATTTAAAAGTGAGAAAATTCTAAATATTTCTAAGTCAGTAATAGTAGGTGGATCTGATATGAGAGTCACCATTCTTAGGTGGTAAAATATAGATAATACCTAGAGAATAACCGAGTACTGTGCAGAGTAACAAAGAAAAGAGAGGAGATAATCCCTATCCATGAAGAGGAAAAAGCATCATGGGCATGTAGTCCAGGCCCAAATGAATGGCATACACATGTAAACTACCTAAGTATGAATCCAAACCATTGCTGATGATCTAAATAAGCCTGGGTCATTTTTTATCTAATATTTCTATCTAAATGGATATTTGCTCTCAGATAGATTTATTTCATATTCATTGTAACATCCTCTGAGTCTATACCAGTTTGCAAAGCTGTTTCAGTGTTTACTAATATTTCCAGTATTTGAAATCAATGTCCATGACTCATTTTACATTAAAATAATTTTTGACGGTTTCAAAACACCCTCCTTTTAGACATTATATCAACCACCCTGCCAGGTAGGAAAGTCAGGCTTATTGTCTCCATTGTACAGATGAAGAATCTGAGGCTCTAAGAGGTTAAGTGAGTTGCCCATGGTCCCACACCGGTAAGTGGCAGAGCTGAGACTTGAACCCAGATCTTCTGACTCCCAACCTAGAGCTGTTTCCAGCACCCCTGATCCGAGGATCCCTAGGAGCAGTGGTGCCATCATTCCACAGAGGTAACGCTGCTTCTCCACTTCCCTCTGGGGCCTGTCTCCTCCTGCAGGCTGCTGTACCGCTCCATCGACTCCCACACAGAAGACAAGGGCCCCATCTACAACTACCGTGTGGAGATCTCCATCTTTTTCATCATCTACATCATCATCATTGCCTTCTTCATGATGAACATCTTCGTGGGTTTTGTCATCGTCACCTTCCAGGAGCAGGGGGAGCAGGAATACAAGAACTGTGAGCTGGACAAGAACCAGGTAGCTTCCTAGGAAGGAGAGGAGCAGGTAGCAGGGCAGTAGCGGGGAGCAAGGCTACATGAGGAATGACAGCAGATGGCAGCTTGTGGCCCACCCGGAAGAGAGACTGGAGTCAGGAGAGAGATCCATGCGGATACTAAGATCATCTGTCTGCTCCTCAATGAGGGAATAGGGCTGTCAGTCTTCTGGAAGGGCCTGGACAAAAGAAATGCAAATCCTGGATCTGGCAAATGCATTCAGCCAACAAATATTGGTTAAGCATCTACTTAAGGAGACTCTATGATAGATTCTGTGGGGGGGTGGAAAAAAAACTTCATGCCCTGTGTCTCAGAAGTTGACAAGTCAGCAAGTGTTCACGTGGGTTGGCACACTGATAATGAAGAAAGAAACTAGAGCAATGAGGGAGTGAGAGTTTCAGGGTGGGGAAGAGAGGGGCTTTAGAAAACCACTAGTAAATGGTTTCTTAAAGAAAACACAGAGGCCTGTGCATGAGGTGGGGGCAAGTAGGCTTAAGGAGGAATGATGGGAATGCCAGTACTGGGAGGTATTCTGTTGGCCTATGAGAAAGAGCTGGAAACTCTGTCAGGGAGGAATGAAGCTGTTACAGTGGGCTGCAGCATGTGGTCACTGAGGTCACTTCCCCAACTAGGCTCCCCAATGGAGAGAGTCAGGGGGAACTGTATCCCTGTCCATGAGTGACTTAAGGTCTTGTATGGGTAGGTACATGGCACAAGACATTCAGCTCTACACCAGTTAGGCCAACTGGACCCCTCATCAAAATGTCAACCTCTTGGGTTTAGACTCATCATTCTGGCTGCTGTATGGCCTTTGGATTGGAAGTAAGATGGGAAAGAAGGAGGCCAATTAGAAAGTGTGGATGAGATGATTAGACCCTGATTTACTATCAGGTTAATGATAGTGGAGGTGGACAGGATAAGAAATAAAATTGGTCAGGCCTAGAGATTGCGTGTGGAGGCTGAGGGTAAGTGAAGAGGATGGAGTGAGTCCCCAGTGTCTGACATGGGAATCTGGGCCGAGTGCAGAGAAAATGAATTGAATCTGTGCTGGAGTCCCAAGATTCTAGCTAGCCTCAAGATCTGATCCCCTATCCCTGAACTATGTCTTCGAATCTTGTGGACATGGGTAAATAAGGGAGATTGACTTAGGACAGGAAGGAAAAGTTAAGAGGTGCCCCAAGGAGAGTCTGTGGCATAGGAAATAATCAATGGGAAGACCAAGTATCTGTCATTCTGTAAGTATTTGTCAAATGCCAACTAAGTGTCAGCAGTGTACAAGGCATTACCAAGTTGAAAAAAGGAGACTCAAACTCCTTGACAAAATCCTGGTAAGGAAACTGACCAGAGGCAACGATTTCCTTGATTAAGGGAGTGATAGGGGAAAAAAAAAGTCCAAATACCATCTCAAACCTGTAAATGAGCTAGATAAGTAGATTAGTTCTCTGATGCCCCAGGTCTGCAGTTTCATCCACACCCCACCTCCTCGGCCATCCCCACACACATCATCCAGGTTACTAACCCGCTCTCTCCATCCCCACCCCGCCCCTCCTGCTGCCTCCCTCCCAGCGACAGTGCGTGGAATATGCCCTCAAGGCCCGGCCCCTGCGCAGGTACATTCCCAAGAACCAGCACCAGTACAAAGTGTGGTACGTGGTCAACTCCACCTACTTTGAATACCTGATGTTCGTCCTCATCCTGCTCAACACCATCTGCTTGGCCATGCAGGTCAGTCCGAGGGGAGGACCCATGACGCCTGCAGGAAGGAGGATGCTAGGGGAGGAGATGAAGTGTAGAAGAGCTGCATGGCTGACTCCTTCATGTTGGCCAAGAGAGACAGAAAGCAGAAGAACTGTCCTCTTTTCCAAGATGGAGAAGGACAAGTGTCCCTTCTCAAGGATGAGCTCCTCTCTGGGACCTTATAAGAGAATCCACAGAGGCCTGGGTTAATAAAACGCTTAGAGTGAAGGAAATGGAGAACAGAGGGGGAGCCTGAAGAGTTTGCCACTGTGAGGCATGGGTATAGAGGTTGATTCTATATCCACCTCTCTTCAGGGAGGTCAACTTGTGCTTGAGCTCTCTTGAGAACCAGAAGTCTCCATAAAGGTGTCATAACCTGTGTTTTCAGAGCTAGCAGAGAAGGGAAGAATTTGCAGGATTTCCTGAGTCCACCTGGCTGCCCACAGAGATGTGAATGGCCTTCCAGGGCTTGGTTCAAGGAAGATCTCTGTTGAGAGGAGGGTGGTAAGGAGTAGGGATGCCCTGCCTCGTTTTGACAGTCCTTCCCCTCCCCTCAGCACTACGGCCAGAGCTGCCTCTTCAAAATTGCCATGAACATCCTCAACATGCTCTTCACTGGCCTCTTCACCGTGGAGATGATTCTGAAGCTCATTGCCTTCAAACCCAAGGTAGGCCTCTGAAAAAGTTGTCTGGTCTGCAGGCACTGGAGGGATGGACAAGGGGGAGTGCCAGTACTGAAAGAAGGAGAGTGGCGGGCAGAAATAATCAGTGAAAGACCCCATCTTCTTGGAAGATAAATGTTACAACTCCTAAACCTACCAGGAGTTGTACCAGAACAACCCCTTGAGATAGTCTCCACTCTAGTCTGTGGCTGGGAAATACAGAAAACAGATTCCTCCCTGTGCTGAGCCTCCTCTTCCAAGGAGGCAGATGATGGTCCTTCTCCTCTTTCCCACCCTGTCTCCACCCTCATCCCCCAGCACATAATCTAGAAGAAACTGTGCCCACAGACTGGCAAACTAAACCTCTTCACAACCAGCCCCCCAGATTCACTTGGGCTGCTGTTCTACTGCCCTCTCACTTCATCAGCCACAGACCACGCTCATTGTAAAAAGTTCAGCCAGGGCTTCATTTGCTCAGGCTCAGTTTCCCAGCCAATGGGGTCCTCCTGTTCAGAGGCTACATCATTGTACCCTAGCGCTTTCCAGTACCGGAAGGGCAAATGTCTGAGACTTGCTACTTGCGAGCAACTTCTAGGAAAATAGGGTGGGAGAAAGATGAGAACCATTGGCTGAATGAGGCAGGGTAGGGAAGGATGGATTGCCTGTCACGTTGGATTCTCTGTGCCCTCCCTAACCAGCCCCACCCCCATTCTCCTGACTAATGGAGAAGGAGACTGACTTGAGCATCACCCGCCATCTTCCATCCCTGAAGACAGGTCAGAATCATTGGCATCCACTGGCCTGGGATTCACAACACAGGCAGCTGCTCCTGAGAGAGGGTATAGCTGCAACTCCTTTTGGAGAGCGATGAGAAAGAAAGAGTTGGTTCTAAGAGAATTATATGGTTGCAGACTTGAGGAAAACTCTCTAGCTATTTGAGCCTTCTCTTCCCCTCCTTTACTAGTTTTTACAGATTCAACACAGATCAACAGGAGACAAAAAGGAAGGGTCCTTTCCATATATTCCATTTTTATTCAAATTTTTACTTGTCCTGGAGTTAAATGGGACAGGGGGATGCTCCTTGGCTGTTGGATCCATATTCATTTAACAAGATGTCTATCATCTTCTCTGAAATAAAATTCAACTAACATTTCTGAATAACCTACCATGTCCTACACATACCTCATTGCATGCAATCCTCAAAACACCCTCATAACACAGGTACTGGCTTCCTCATTTCAGGGAAGAGGGAAGTGAAGCTCAGAGCAATTAAGTGTAATATTAATTACACCATTATTAAGTGGCAGAACTGGGAATAGAACCTGACTTTATAGTCGATGTAATTGCCACCATGCCCAGCTGTTAGCAAGCATCTTCCATGTCAAGTGTACTGCTGGGTGCTTTTCAGAAAGAGGGAAACAACCTGTGAGGGACTTTAAGATAAAACAGACCATATTCTTGTAATGTTGGTTCCTTCTCTCAAAGAATGCCCAGGAATCTTGGCTAATTTTCAGAAAATAAGACTCCTAGTAAATGTCATTTGGTGATAATAATGGTATTTCCTACCTCCTCCAAGGCACTAAATATACTCTTTTCACTTTCCCTTCCAAGCCCAGTCCCTTTCAGGGGCATAAATTTTGTCCTGACCTAAAGAAGACCACTGAATCTCCCTGGTCACCTTCCATAGGGCCCATGGGACCTCTGCTTACCTGTGGTCCTGTTCCAAGCCACGTGGCCCCACAGTACTAACAGGTTCACAGCCCATAGCAACATGACCGGTGAGGCTGGGAATGCGGAATTATTGCCAAGTTGAGCTTCAGTCACAGATGACAGCCTCTCGTAGGGAAACTGGCATCGCTTTCACCTAGTTTCATGAGACATATGGTTTAAATATTTCAAAGCCTTGAATCATTCCACAGTTGACTCAGATGTGTCTCTGATGATGTCTGATGCAGTCTACAGAGCCATGCAGTGGACTTTGTGAATTATTCCTCATGACCACAGAAGATATATTGGGCAGACCTGCCCTACGAAGCAAATGAAATTGATCCCTGCAGGGGCCTCAGCCTGAAAGATCCCCTTACCTAAGTTTGCCGATCAAGGAATAAGCCATTTCCTCAGAAGTAGCTAGCTGTGGTCTAAACCATAAAGCGAGTTTCCTAGTTTCCTCAATCCCTAGTTTCCTGTTGTGACAAGATGGAGTAAAATAAGAAAGACTTTTCCCAAAGAAGTAAGAGAGCCATCCTGGGGCCGTTTGCATTTCACACATGCCAGGGTCAATCTGTGCTGTAAAGAGAAAGGAAAATGGATAATTTCTGTGAATATCTCTAAAGGGACTTCTGGCAATAGAGGGCTAAAGGTCACTGGACCTGGCTGGCCAAAGAAGGTTGACCAGTTGGGACTTAAGGAGAACAGGGTGCCCTGGTTTCTCATTAAGCTAGGTTCTTCATTTAGGGAATAGACCCCAGGAAAAGCATCCTCCAACATTTCAGGCAGCAAATCAAACCAGACACGACTTGAAGACCTGGTAGAAATATCTGGCTGGGTGTGGCCCAAGCACCAGCAGCTTCTGAAATACAGAACAGCTTTCATATCTCACCGTTAACTGAGATTCTCTTCAGCACCTTTTATTTCACTGGCATGATTCTTTATATATGATATGAACGAGTCTGCACTTGTAAGCATTAGGTATAAAAAGGACAGTTAGGCAGCAAGGAAGTAGAAGATGCATCAACCGTAGCCAGAGAAACGTTACCGGAAGTTCTCAGTGCTTGACTTTCCTTCGCTATCCTTTCAGTCTCTGTGATTAGTTGGTTGGTCAGTTGGTTGGCTGGTCACTTTGTATCTTGTTTCATTCTTTTGTTGTCTTCGTGGTGATTGATGTTGCCAAGTTCTTCATTTCTGTTCTCCTCACCATACCATGGAAAATGACTTTACTCAAGTAAATCCCTGCCCTAAATCCAACTGTCCCACTCCTTAAGTTGACACTCTATTCCAAACACACCAAAAACTATGGGTGAGTATAAACCAGTTTAGAGCAATTCAGTCCCCCACCAAAACGTCAGGGATCTGTGGGGATGTCTGAACAGAATGCAGTAGGTAATAGTAGTATTGATTTCAACAGCTAATAGCAAACCAGAGGAGATCCCTTCCCTAGAGTAAGAGACACTGAATGGTACCTGAGTCCTACATGTGTAGGACAAAGTTGGTCAGCATGGAAAAGTCCTGGTTAGAATTGTCTGAAGGTAACTAGATACCTGGGTTGTTCTCCTACAGGGAATCGGAAAGCATCAGCAAAGACAGAAAAAAAATTAAGATATACTTTATGATAAGCACTGAAAAAATATCTAATGCCTAGGAATAAATCTAATAAAAAATGTCAAAAATCTCTACAGAGAAAACTATAAAATTTCATAGAAATGAACTAAAGAAAACTAAGTAAGTTGAGAAATATATTGTGTTCATGAATTGGAAAACTCAATATTATAAACATGTAAGCTCTCTTCAAACTGATCCATAGATTCTGTACAATCCCAGTGAAAACTCCAGATTGGACTTTACCCAAGGTGAGAATGGCAGGAGAAAGGGAAGCCATCAGCAAACCCTTTCTGGCCGACAGGATGACCCTGGGTGGTCCCAAGGCTTCAGCCCACTTGGGCAGCTCTGACATCACCATGGAGAGGGAGAGGCAAGAACCTGGTTCGGGAAGCAGTGCCAGGCACAGATACTCCACTGTTAACTACAGGTTTTAGTACCAGAAGGGCTGATGATGTCACTTGGTTGCCTGGGATTTGCTGTTGACAATGACTCAGCAAGCACAATGAGGAGGGGAGGAGGGAGCGGAGGGGTTCCAGGCTTGCCCTCCTCAGCAGAAGTCGGTTTGCCCCAGGAAGGCAGGAGTTCCACCAGTGAAAGGCTCCTGACTCCTCTGCTCCCTATAAACTTTCACATGGGTCATGGAGAGGTGAAGAAGCAGGTCTGCTATTGCTGAGAAGTACCTCGTGCGCTGCTGCCCACTCCGTATCTCCCCCTAGGGGAGGATGCTGGAGGGGATTTGACCCTGGCAGCTCCCTGTGATCAAAGCCTTGGTCTTCCCTTTCAGCTTTCTCCCAGACTGAGAGGCGAACAGAACCAAAGTGAAATCACTCATTGACCTTCCTGGCACCTCAGCCTTCTTGAATAAGAGCAGCCAAAGCCTTGGGACTTACTTTCATGTTGCAGGACAAATTAGGGCCCCAAGGCATTTCAAACCTAAGGGATGAAGTGAGGCCTCTGGACCAGCTCCGTCTAATAGAACTTCCTGCGATGTTCCATACGCACTGTCTGCAATATAACCACTAGCCTTCTGTGGCTGTTGAGCACTTGAAATGTGGTTAGTAGAGCCAAGGGTTGGTTTTTCAAATATATTTAATTAATTTAAAATTATATAGCTGAATGTGGCCAGCTGCTGCTATGTTGGGCAGCACAGCTCTGGACAGTCCTTCTTTTCCATAATATTCCCAGCTTCTGCTGTCCTCTGTCTGTCTTGGTTTCTTCAGCCCAGCTGCTCTGGCTTTATGAAGCCAGATGGTTTACCTCACCCTCCCCACTCTCTCTCCAGCTGTTAGTTTTCTGCCAAAAATTGACTTATCTTGGTGGAAGCCCTCTTGACGGGGTAAGACAGTCTCTTGCTCTGGGATCCCACAGTGTGGATCTTCTCCTGACTTGGCCAGTCCTCTCTGTCATCCCTGGACTTCCCCGGTCCTTGTCAGCTGCAAGTGCTGAGGCTCCTTCCCTGTGGATCCTGTCCCACCCAGTTTCTGAGTTCAGAAAGGCCCTACGGGAGGTGGAGAAAGTGCCCTGGCAGGTGCAGTCTGGAATTAGCCTGCTTCTAGGGGTTGTGTCCCTGGTGATCCCTGGGGCACCCAGCTTCGCTTTTTCCCAGTCTGTTGGGCTTCAGACTAGGTTTCCTGACAGTGCTTTAGTGCCCTAGTGAAACTGAAATCTGAGAGCCCTAAGCCTATACC